GAACAAGGCTGGGAGAAACAACTCACTTATGGCTTCCTCGATAGGGTTAATATAATCTTCAAAGGAGCTTATCGTTCGCATAAAATATGTAAACTTCGATTTGAAGCCCTTTGTGAAAGCAACATAGGCTGAATGAGGTTGACTTTTTGCAATATCACTTAGTGCTTCGATTTCTTCTCTCCAACTGTTGACCTTTTCGTTGCAGTACTCTTCTTTGTAATTTGTAGAACCAATAACTGCGCCCAGATGTCGCCTTCCTTCAGTTGTTATTTTCACCTCTCTTCCAAACACCCGTTCTGCTTCTGACGCCAGAAGTTGTGATTTAACAATCAGCCAGCTCTTAGAACCGTTTACATGGTATCCATACTTCAAGCCTTCTTCACACAGATAACGATACCAACTATAGAGCGCTGCAATCGTTCCTCCCCCTGCTGAGTCATCAGCCAACCAAACTTGTTTGACGTCTGGGCTAGCGAGTCTCAGTGATTGTATGATAGTTGATGTATTGATTGAATACCAAGGCATGGCCAAAGGGTCACCTTGAGTGGTGCCTTCTTGAGACAGTATCTCCCCTCCACCACAAATAAAAAGTCTAGAAGGACTTCTATAGGTGTTGATAAGATACTGCGAGATTTCATTACAAGTAATCTGGATATTATGCATTGCCACGGAGCGATTCATTTGGTTGAAAGCATTACTTGCGTCGATTAGAAGTATTCCATCTGTTTCAGCTTCAGCATAGATCTCGCTCATTGCGTGTATCGCGGCTTCAGCGCCCGCGTTGTGCCCAGCACAAACTTGTAGCGGGCCCGCTGCTCGTTTCAACTCTTCTTTGAAAAAAGCTGACACAGTTTTGCCGATAATTCGCCTTCATAACATAAATCGACACTCTTGCCGGCATAAACTAAGGCCCGTTTACACTATGTGTGTATATAAGTTTAAAATAGTAATTTTTGTTGCTAGTTAATTCGCTACCGAAGGCAACATATAAGAAAAATATAACTTATAACTAATATTAGCTATCGATAAGAAAGTATGGATTTGATGTATAAACGTTTATAATATAGTCATGCAGATGTGATATTTTGTATGTCAATATGAGTACGCAAGATCGGTTAACAGTAGGAATGGGTTGCACATACTGTAGATTAATCTGCAATATGTTAAGTATATCAGAATAATCAAGAAATATATACATTTATATAATAGATGTTTTGATGTTAAATTTTAGCCAAGATTTCCTGGTGCTTCTGCAGATTGTATTGGGCTACCTTGTTCAATATAAACATTTTTTGTTTCAATCTTTAGATTGTTCGAAGCATTGACTTGAAATCTGAAAGCTCTGTCACGACAAATGATGGTATCGACTCGTGGGTACTTCTTGCACAAGAGGTAGAAAATGATCAGTCTTACCCACAACCAGACACAGAGCTACCAACTGTTACTGCAACTTCTACAGCTATGTCAGAATGTCAGAATTGTGCTAATCACAAAACAAAGTTTGGTCGTCTTCATGAATCGTACCGAAAGCTGAAATACCGGCACAGAAAATTGCGTAAAGAAGCCCGTCAATTGCCACAATTGTGCAACTTTCAGGTACTCTATGTGATAATATAATGCTTTGGATAATGGTAAAACTAATTTGGCTAATTAACCCATTAGCTGGCAATGCACCCAGATGTACCCATCTTACGCTATCCAACCCCAGACAATTTTACTTGTCGGTCCAGTTAATGGGTTAAATAATGTGCTGTGAAAAAATGTATGTTCAACTACCGAAATTTCCAATGTTTATTTGTTGGATGTTCTATAATGAAATAGATCATATTGTGTAATGTAAACTGATAAAGTTTTTCTCAATTTCTAGAAATCTGAAAATAAAAATTCAAATTCATCAGAAGATTGCCAACAAACAGCAATTCAAGAAGAGGTTGAAACTGATAGTGATGAAATTATCAGTGACGATGAAAACGAGAAAGTTGGTGTGTACGAGAGAGATGAAGATTGGGTAGCGATGGAAGAAGAAATAAACGAAGAGGATTATGTCACTGCTTCTGAAGATGAACAAATGAATGAAACATCAAAATGTGATATAAGGTCTGTATAGAACAACCGTAGTTATAAATTGAGATTAATCTAAATATTTAGACATTTACAGATACTGTACAGTGCATCTGGGGAGAGTAAGGTGTTCCAGAAAATATTCACATTCTCCTCACAAAGAGAATTTGTGTCATCTGAAGTGGCAAATCTACTGTACCGGGTACTACTGAAAATAGCACAATGATAAGCATGTCCATACAAATGTATTAGCAGGTTCAGACTTCAAATTTAAGATGTGGATGTTTCCTGAAATGACCAGATGTATTATATTCATAATCTACATCCTGTACATCATGATGTATACAGTATATAGGAAATAGAGAAAATGTTATGCATACAGGTAATTCATTTTTTCTCACTTGTAGAGTTGAACCTGAAAAAATTGCACTGCAAAAATTGCCCAAATGGTTTCACTTGGAGGAGCCAGCCTCTCATAATGGGAACCTATCCTGCTGGAAATATGTTGTTAAGCTTTGCAATATTGATGGCAGGTGCATCGATCAGCAAGGTACTGCTCGTTTTCAAGCATTTTGGTATGCAGGCTTATGAAGCGAGAACATTTTTCTACCACCAGAGCAAATTTATCTTTCCTGGAATGGAAGATTTGATTCCATGGGGCATTCTGCCAAGTATGGAGTTTACTCTATGATGTGTTCACCATCAAATAAAATAGTGTATTTTGAGTTATTACAGGCACAGTATGGTTTTTGATATACTGTAATCCATCAAAAACTGATTTCAACCCAGTAAGGTTAAACAAGTGGATTCTGGAGCCTGAACAACCTAAATGAATAGGTTGACAGTGATTTGTATGTATATATATTGATCAATAAAAGTGTTGAAGTTCCTGGAACAACTATGTTTTACCTTGGACGAATAGAATGTTGAAATCTGCCTTTACAGATCCTTCTAATTCACCAGTAAGTTAAAGCCTCCAACATTAGGAGTATGCAAGGTTTTTTGACAACATTTTGAGGCTAGGATTTTAATAATATTTTATATTTTGTATAATTCCTATCTTTTGTTATTCTGATTTTAATATTTTAGGCAAACCAGGCTGGCGGCAGTAGTACCGCTATGGAGCTGCAGGCTGCAAAGTTATGCTTTAATTATTTAAAACGATCTGATCTGGAAATTCCGGTGTTTGTTTCCGATCGGCACCGGGGCATTGCCAAGTGGTTAAGAGAGAACCACCCAACCATCACACACTACTTTGACCAGTGGCATATTGCTAAAAGTGTGGTGAAGAAAATGTTAGCAGCAAGCAAAAAGAAAGGCTGCGAGATCATTGCTAAATGGATAACAGCTGTCAAACACCATACTTACTGGTGCTCAACAACAACGAAAGAAGGGTTTCAGAAATTGATTCTTGCCAAATGGAAATCATTTATTCGGCATGTTGCCAAAAAGCATACAAACCACCCTGACCCGCTGTTTCCAGAGTGTGCACACAAGGAGCTCGAGAAGCGCAGAAAATGGACAAAAGTTGGTATGTCAAATATTGATCAACAATATTTTAATTTTTCCATGAAACCCCCTTCTTTGGAGATGGGATTGAAAGAGGAAGGGGCATGTCTCTGAAAGAGAAGGGACTTGAGCAAAAGATTGTCTTGAAGACAAGTCTGCTAAATGACATCAAGCGGCTGTGTCCAGATGCAGAGACTAGTTGTCTGGAGGGACTTCATTCCACTTTAAATCAGTGGCATCCCAAAATGAGATGTTTCTCCTGGCTTGGCACCTATTCCAGGTATAAAGTACATATAAATGATAATAACCAGCAGTCTCTCATCAAGGAAATGCAACGTCACCAATAAAGGTATGCATCTTGTTCGATCTGAGAAAATAACAACAAAATCTGCTCCGAGAATAATTTAACTAACCCTTTAATTAACTTTCCCTTTAATTTAATTACAGACATATCCTAGCTATCTTGCATTTCAATGAAAATGTTAGGAGACCAAAAAAATTGGCAAAGGATGGCAGCACATATGTAAATGTTACATACCCTAAATACAAAAATGGTGGTGATGTTGTTCGAGAAATCGCTGTTGCTGCAACTTATGGTATGTAATTTTGGGACCCATAATACTAATGTAATTTCTATTATTTAGAACTAAGGTAAGTTTCGAACATGCTGGGAAAATCAAAGGTCCAAGGATATAAAACAAGGGGAAATCTGTATTTCACATTATTTTCATTTTTTGGCTTAAGTTATCTCATGTTTTGTCATTTAGGTTATGTTTGCAGTATCAAAGAAAAACTGTTTTCTATGACCAAAGAAGAACGGAAGAAAATCAAGGACACATACAAGGATAAAGTTTTTAGAAAATACCCCCAAAAGTGAAGCAATAAAATGCTACAGGGAGCGAAAAGCGAAAACTGCAGAACTCTTTCCATCAGGTAAATGAGAAACCATTACTACCAACACTACAACAATTATCACATAATAAATGCAATCAATAACTGAGTTTCTCCTGTTGTTATAATCTCCTCACATTTGATCATTTTTAGCTTCAGAACAAACATCATTGATCGAGGCAGAAAAACAAAAGTCGACGGCAGATCTACCACCGCCAAAAAGGAAAGCAAGACAATGCTCAAAATGCAAAGCACCTATGAAAGGCCATCCCCGGTCACATTGCCCTTGATGTCATTATGTTGTAAAAATGTCAAGCTCAATAGTCTGAATGCGTATTCCAGAAATTATCCACATCCCTTCTGCAAGGGAAATTTCTGCTGTCCAGGGGGCTAAGGTGGGAAATCTGATAAATTCTAAAATGCATCAAGGCATCCAAAGGGAGGTAGTGTAACTCAGAACAGAATTATGAACAGAATTATGCCATGCTCCCCATAGCTGTGAATTTGAATGGAATGTAAAGCATGATTTACTGTACAAAACCACCCCAGGTTTAACAGCTTCACAGTTGCCACTGTTTTTTTTTTGCTGTTGATTTGTTTAAACTACCTGTTTTCCCGACCCACCCTTATAACTTCCAGGCGAAGAGCCTTTGCTTGAAACGTTGAATGTATTATTGTATTTCCTGTCATCCGAATCAACCTGGTTTACTTTAATTAGCTGGGGTTAGTTTATAATCTGTAAACATGCATAACCTGGGTTTACCAGTATAGTTGGCACACTACTCTGGAAAAGTGCTCAATCTAAGGCCAGGGTCAAATGTCGAACTTTTCATGTGCCGAACCTAATGCAAATGAAGTGAAACAAAGAACGTACAGTAGCTCATTAACATTAGGTTCGGCACATGAAAAGTTCGACGCTTGACCCTGGCCTAATAACCCGGGTTCAACCCTAGATAGGTATACCTGGCTAAAATTTAAAACTGTATGAAGCAGCTAAGTTATGGTAGTGTGCAGCAAAACTGTTTAATTGTGGGTAACTTGTCTCTTGATTATAGAATTTATTTATATTTGAAAAAAAATATGATATGTATGGACTGGCGCAAAAAGATAAAGTAAACTATTAATATTCTATTTATTGAAGCTATAAAAAAATGTCATAGTCACTTCAGCTGTCTTTCTCTGCTCGTTCCTCTCCAGATATATAACCCTTAGCATCACCTGTAGGGAATGTAGTCCTTATACGATGGTAGATGCATGCTGACAAGGGTTTTGTGTTGTCCCAACCCATCATTCCAAATAACCATCTTGCCAGCCAGCGACATGCATGATACAGCTCTCAGGAATCTATAACAAATACACAGTAATCTTTAGAAAAAAGCAGAAACGATACTTGCTTTACTATTGGTACTGGACAAAAATGTTTTGAACTACTGTAAGTAGATTTACATACTTTTTATCTGCGTCATTTTTTATTCGGTAGCAGCTGCCATTCTTGTTCCTCAAGAGAGGTCCAACTTCGCGTAGAACCGTCTCGTTTGTCATGGCATTAAAGTCTGGATGAACAAGAATACACTCAACATCCTTGCCAATCCAAGTAAATTTCCCACTTGCTTCTACGATCTTTTTACAGCAACGAAACTCACGAGCACTGACCAGCTCCTGATCAGCACAGTTGCCACACGAGCACCTACAAGTATCAAATAATACGACAAAGGTCAGGTAAAATCAGCATTAAAATCATAATAGGGTACGTGGATTTGTAATATTTTTAGAACTTACCAATTAGCTAAAGGAATAACCTTTTCGAAACACTTCTCCAAAATCGAGGCGACGAGGGTAGAATGGAATCTTCGTCCTGTTCTTCATCAGAAGATTCACTATCGTCTGTGCTCGCCAATGGTTCTCCTTGGTAGGGTTCAAAACAGCTCTTTACGTTTAAATTTTCCTCTAAATCGCTCTCAGTTAAGCTGTTACACTCTAAACTAGAGTAACTTAACGAATCGTCGCTCTGCGACATAACAAAAAGTAGAAATCCCGATAAAAAAGTTAAAATCCGACAATACAACCAGCCTCTTTCACTGTTTGTAAGAAAATATAAAGCATGTGTGTACAGTGAGCTCCATATATATCTGGAGTAGGAACTTGGTTGCTCAAAGTGAAGCCAGTTTCGTGTTAACCGCGCATACAAAAACAATAGAAAGGAACTGACGTCCAATAGCTCCTTCAATTTCCGCCATTTTGGCAAGGAGTGTGTTGAAATTTCGTATTTTGACTTCGATTTAAAGAATAATATTGTGATTTTATGAACTGAAAACTTGATTAGTGATACGGTCCATTAGAAAAAAACGGAATTAGCTGGGGAAAATGGTATAAAAACTGTTTACGACCTTCAGAGCTATTGGACGTCAATGGCCGCCATCTTGGCTTCACTTTTCTCATTGACCGAATGACTGAAGTTCTTACTCCATATATATATAGAGCTCACTGTGTGTGTACAACCAGTGACGTCACGCGCTGTGTTTACTCGAGTCCAGACCCCGGGACAATAAAATAATTAAATTACTGACTTTCGTGACTTTAAAAATCGACTTTAAAAAATCGCGGGGCAAAAATAAACTAGTAGATGATATTCAGCATAGTTTAAACTATAAAATGAGCACAATTGTGAAAAAAAATTTCAGCCATTTCATAAACACTTTAAAGCTGTACTTTGACAGAAAAAGTTACAGACAGGTTTGTAAAATTATCCTTGTTTATGTTTATGTTGTTTTTAGGGCTAGTTTCTTTCTGCTTTTTGAAATACTACGGATATATTTCTTGTATGTAGTCCAAATAGTTCAAACACCTTGCCAACCTTAGGTATACTTTATATGTAACTACATGCACGTCAGCTCGCTATCTACATTTCGCAATATATTTCGTTAATTTGTGATTATTTTCGTTAAATTTTATAATTTCACTGCAGTTTTAATTTAAATTCAGTCGTTTAGTGGGCTGCTTATGGATTAAGTGGAATATAAACAAGGACAAGTTTAAGGTTTGACAGTTTGACGTTTTAAATAACAAGTATAAATATACGTTGTAGACTCATAAACAAGCGTTGTGCACTTGTGTTCATTTGCATATCATGATAGATTTGCACCTAATTACATTAATTGCGCCAAATTACTTTCCATTTCATCATATATTTATACTATAAAATTATACTATAAAACACATATTTATACTATAAAATATTCAGCGAGGTGGCGTTGCGTGCGGCGAAGTCAGTGAAACGTGATACGGTTCAATTTGTTTTTGGAACAAGATCCAACTTTTCCCCCCACTTTTTTAATTCTCAAATTGTTTATTAGATGCTTACTGGTTGGGGTTAGAGAAGGGCTTTGGGTTGGGATCAGTTCATCTTATAATGGAAGCAAATTGGCGTATTTTTTAGAAGAATCGTCTATGTCTATGAACTTTTTAGCACCTGAAACTAGCCATATAATGGTATTAAAAATCAAGGACTATATAATTTCTTCGCTATTATTGGCCCATCATTATTTACGGTTGATAGTTGATAATCATAGTTACAGTGGGCCTGGCTTGTCAGGTTGAATTGCCCGTAGCCGGAGGGTACGCCTGAGCCGGCGTCTTGGTATATTATGGTTGATAGTTGCTGATCATGATTGTATTTAATATTGGTTGTATTTATATGGTCCAGACCTCCTGTATCCCTATCTACTTCTCTACTACACATTACACCCTACCACGAAAGTTGCCATTTTCAGGCTAGTGTGAACGCCTGAGTAGGCGTCTTGTTATAATTAATCAATCAGTGATATGGCAACAAAATCTTGATATTGTCAGAAATAACCTGGTTGCAATTCTAGTCATGATCAGGATTTTCCTCTTGGTAAATTTTGGCTACTTTTCAAGCATCGTAAAATATCGGGCATGCACGTGATGCTATTGAAGACTTGTGACCGGTCAATGATCAATCAGTATTTGGAATGATCTCAGGACTGCAAATTTAAAAAATATAAAACCTTTCAAAAATATTAAAATCAACTCATATTGTTGTATTGAACATCTATTCTGATTGGACAAGAACAGTGTAATTTTAAGAAAATACTGAGCAAAAAAGAGGAATACCCTAAAGCATTTTGACTGGCTGGAAGGCATATTTTCAGCAAGAAAACCTAGTTGGCACCAGCACTTGACAAAGGGGGAGTGCTGCTCAATGAATTCAAAACATCATGTAAATGTCTTGATAAGACTTTTTGGTGAGTGCTAAAGCAAAATGTATCTTTTCAAACAATAAAACAAGAAGCATACAAGCATACAAGTCGCATTTGAAGCATACAAGTCGCATTTGTATTATGAAGTCCCTTTCACACTGTCAGTAATAGTTAGTATGGTTTTTTCGTGCAAATTTGGATAAAACAAGCATTTGTGAGTTTTTCTAAGACCTCAAATAGCCCTTGCTCTTCGGACTTGTGCTTTTTTGAAAAACCTCACTCAAGCATCTTTTATCCAAATGGCACTCAAAATAAAAAATATTAATTAAAAAATTAAAATTAAAAACTTGTATTTTTCAGGTAGTTGCATCCCTGTCAATGACAGACCATGCTATTGCCTAATTCAAATAAAAATCTGTCAAATGAACATATAATCAAAACTGTCAAATTTAGTCTATTCAAACATTTGGTACTAGCTGTATCATGCATGTAGTTGATTGATGACTAATGTACTCAGCACATGAACATTTGAATGGATGTAAATGAGCTTAAAGACCCCCCTCCCTTTCCACATCCTTTCCCCACACCCCTTAGTATTTGGCTACTATTCCCTCCTAGCTTTATAGTCATTAGAAAACCATATCATCTTTACCATTCTCAGACCTGTCAACCCGAGTTGCAGTAATCGTGAGTTGTTTTACAAAGTTGTGAGATTTTGTGAAAAATCGTAAGATTTTAGAACTTTCCCATGTTTTCTTATTATTCTGGATTAAATGAATCAAAAGTCAGTTCTTTAAATTTATTTAGCTTGATTTTTTAAATAATCATGAATATCCCTGCTAAACATACTCCACGTATGTAATGTGTTTAATATTGGAAGTCTTGAAACAAAATTCAGTGTCATGATCATTTGATTGAAAACCTGAAATGCTGAAAACCTACAAAACAAGTGAAAACAAGGCTTGTATCACCTATTATGTAAGCCTGTAAATACACTTCAATTTAAACAAACTTCCTCACAAATCATCAGATTTAAAGGCTTTGTCATGAGACAGTGAGAAAGCATAAAAAATTGTGAGTCTCACAATGAAACCATGAGTCTCAGAGTTTGAAGCAGCAGGCATTTAGCCAGGCGGCCATCCAACCGTCCTATGGACGGCCATTTTTAAAATAAGACGGCCACTTTTAATAGACGGTCATGGACGGCCATGGAAATGTCTTCTCTAAACAGCAACTTGCAAGCTTTGATACTTTGTGAATACCAAAAAAGTTGTCAGCTGTTGTTTATCTACTCTACAAGAAGAATGCTGAATTATGAGTATATATCACCACTGATTTCAAGCACCATGTTTTTTACCATGTTCATGAAAATCTAGGTTGTGACACCCACGGTGTTTTTGGATGGCCAGTTTTGACACTCTGGCAAGTCTGGGTAGCAGGGCTGGAAAAAATAGGCGAGCATGCAAGCACTGCTCGCAGGAAATGTTAAACAGCTGCAGGAAATTTGTTTGATGATGAAAATTTGAAGGAAACCTTGAAGGAAATGAAAATTTGAAGGAAACATAATGAAAATTTGAAGGAAACCTTAACACCCATGTCCCACTATGGGCACAATAACATATCCTACATTGACAGACATTATTCCTTGAATTTAAAACCATGGTCAGCTAGAACACTCAACACTGTATGTTTATGCTCATGCAGATTTAGCACAAAAATACTCTGTTGGTCTGCAGGAAATTTTTGCCTTCAGTTTGTGCCCCCAAGAAGAAAATTCTTCTTTCCTCGCTGCTCCGGTTGGTAGGCCTGCATTCTCACAGAAAACTTCTGGCCAAAACCAAAATTTTCATCCATACAGAAACTGAGAAAAGTGATGAGTGGCAAATAACAACAAAAAAATTTATGGTTATTATTTTTCTTCAGAACTTCCCTCAGAATGCAAAAATGCTGCACTAGGCCAGGGACAGTGTAGAAACTAAAAATGTCTCTCTGAGGAATTTATTACAAGATATTTAAGTCAATTTCTGTGAGCAAACATAAGCAATTTCTGTAAATAAACATAAATCGAAGGATTCGATTCACATATTAAAAGGCCGATTCACACAAAGCCAGATTCATGTGCATGTTTATATTTAATATAGGTCTTTAATCTATTATTTTATAAAGCTAGCCGCCTAACTGCCAAATATGTAAACAAAGACCCATACGAATGCTTAAAATATCCGTATGGATATATAAATATCCATAGTTTGATGTTCAGAAATTCAATTCAAACGTTAATTTGCAACAAAATATATTTGTAGAACATTCTTTACATCCGGCTAAAGTAAATTCGTATTTCGACGACTGAGAATTTGCGGCAGAATTAATATTCCAAACAACAGATGTTTTAGTCGGATGCTCACTTATTATTAAAGCTTCGATCATTTAATACCGGTAATATCAGTATATTTTACCACAATGAACTTTCAAACGCATTTAATATATTATAGTGCTACAAATTGGACAACTACCGAAAATCAAAAGAGAAATTACAATATACGAACTCGTAAATAAAAGTGTGAACATCGAATGCAGGTTATATCGTGCAGATCACACGCAAGTTGCAATATAAGTCCAAGAAGTTAAACTACAATCGTTCGATCAGCCGGCGGCGTACCTTGTCTGTCCCCAAAGATAGGTCTGTATAGCCAAAGGAACTTCAATTCGTTCGCTTTCTAAAGCCTTGCTGACAAGCTGTCTCTGCATTTTCTACTACTGCGGGATAAAAACATCAACAGATCGGTTATCTAAGATATTTGTTTTCGCTCATTTTCATTAATAAAATTCATACATGTCACTTCTGTGTGCTTTTGTTGACATAGGGAACCCATTTGGTATTGACGCTACTCGGTGGCGGAATGCGGATAATTCTATTGCGCATTGACGGAATTTGGAGCTCAAAATTGGTATGTAAAAGTCGAAATCATGAGTCAAAAACAACATCGCCACTCAAATGGTAAAACCAGGGGCGAAACTTGAGAGGGGGTAGGGTGTGTGGCACACCCCCCCCCTCCAAATGCAAATCATCCCGATTGGCAGGGCAATCAAATAAAATTAAATTAAAGCATTATGAGTACAATTTTAAATGATAGAATGTAGAGTTATCACAGCTAGCAAACAATAAGTAGTTCATATGCATGTACATTGGCATCGGCAGTTATACACGTAGCTTAGTGATGTATTGTATTAGCGCTGGCACTGCAGGCTGTATATAGGGCCTCATTGGTTTTGGCACGGCAATTCTGCAAGACACCCCTCTAATTAAAAGGGGCTAGTTTCGCCCCTGGGTAAAACGCGGACTGATCTGGATCAGGTTACGTTTATAAGCTGCGTTTTGTTCTCAAACCCGGCCGGGGGTTTCAGGTATATTAGAATTTAGACCATTTTACCTTTAGTGACAGTATTAACATGGGTTGAAAATTAATGGGTATAAAGTATTCTACATTTGCCTAAGATTAATTACTCCTGCAGTTCGACGTAGACAGAAATTTTAGACGTACTGGTATATTGATCGAGCCACTATTATCGAGCATATTGGTATTTTATGGTAACTTAGCCTGCGTAATGTACGATTCGTATTGTTGTGGCATAATAGAAAATTACTGCTACGCCACGTACAATTCCCAGTTAGCTTTATGGCAAAATTTGAAATGGTATATATGCAGAATAGGTATTAACACGACAAATGGTAGCATCTAAACGGATGTTACGTATATTTAGCAAGATTCTACTTATAGAAGAACACGGACTGAATTGTGGGCTAGAATAATATGATCTTTGGCATATGAAACCCTGGCCAGATTCAGTTAAGTCTTGATAAAGTGGAGTTACTACATCATTAACGTCGCACGTAACACCTTATATATGTTTGCAAACTATGGCAATCTAAAATTGTGACGTACTGTAAAGAAAGGTTTTCTGTATGATTATATGAATGTGTATTTGTTGAGGTCTACTGATAGACTTGTCAGTATCATTTCCAATCATTTTCCTCATGATGATGAAGAAACGAAAATATTTATTCAGGGATCGATGTCCGATTCAGCATAGCTGGTTTAAACGGAGCCCTGGCTACAAACAAAATTACAGAATTACAAAATTGCAACATATATCACAAATATCTACATACAATCTAATATTATTATAAAGGGGTAGCAAATCTTCGAGTTAAGCCCCTCGAGTTAAGCTCTTCGAGTTAAGCCCCGACCACGCCCTTTCGAGTTAAGCACCGACCACGCCCATACCACACCCATTTCCGTTGAGGGCTTAACTCGAAGTACGTAACTGGAGTTAGGTACTTCGAGTTAAGCCCTCCAGAAAATAGGGGCTAATTAACTCGAGCAAAGTCAAACATTTTGTTCTTCGAGTTAAGCCCCAACGTTTGAAAGATGTAAATGAGTTACGGTTAATCTGATCCCAAACAAATTAAATTGTCATTTGGATCGCGTTCGTAATTCGTTCAATCACGGTTCAATATGTTTTATTTCAGCGAACGTATTATATATATTAGGGTCTTTATGATTGGCGTTTACGGCGAACCGCAAACGGCAAACTTCAAATCGTAATTTGAAGGCGAACCGCAAACGGCAAACTTCAAATCGTAATTTGAAGGCGAACCGCAAACGGCAAACTTCAAATCGTAATCTGAAGGCGAACCGCAAACGGCAAAGTTCAAATAGTAATTTGAAGGCAAACCGCAAACGGCAAACTTCAAATCGTAATTTGAAGTCAACTGTTTGCTGCAGGGCCTTTTTTAAGGATTTTCCCGTGGGGGGGCATTTTTTGAAAAGGGACCTTTCTGTGAGATAATATATTACAGGGAGATAGCAATGGCTGAAGGCCACGTGTGCGCCGAACATACCATGCATGCATGAATGAGGGGGGTGTACTCCCGCAGAAAATTTTTGAAATTTGAAGCACAGAAATGCCATTTCCTGCATTCTGAGCATCCAAATGCGCTCCAAAATGTATACTAACTATACTTATATTTAAAATAAAAGAAGGAAAAAACCCACAAACAAAAAGTTTAAAAAAATATTAACCATAATTTATCATTACTTATTAGAGGAGGATCCCAATGGTCACGTGTGTGGGGATGTACTCCCCCAGAAAATTTTTGAAATTTGAAACACGGAAATGCCATTTCCTGCATTCTGAGCATCCAAATTTGCTCTAAAATTTATGCTAACTATACTTGTATTTGAAATAAAAGAAGGAAAAATGCACAAAAAGTAAAAAACGAATATTAACCGTAATTTATCATTATACTTATTAGAGGGGGATACCAGTGGCCGAAGGCCACGTGTGTGGGGGCATAATCTCCAGAAAATTTTTCATATTTGAAACCTGGAAATGCTCTTTCCTGCACTCTTAGCAACCAAAAAATAAAAAATTATTAACAATAATTTATCATTACTTAGTGGTAGAAAAACGTAACAATTTAGATCGATTTTGTTAAACAAGGACAAAGGATAAAGCCTAAAACTTACTTTCCGTTTATTTATTTGCTATTCTTCGCTGTTTTGTTGGTATAAATTTAGGAAAAAGGGACTTTTCCTGGGGGGGCAAAATGTGATTTTGTGGGGGGGGCACAAGGGGGGACTGGGGGGGCAAATGCCCCCCCAGCTTGTATGTTAAAAAAGGCCCTGGTTTGCTGTTCGAACTTAGAGCAACTTGTGCATAAAAATTGGACTATGAATTAGCTACTTCTTTTAGCTAATAAAGGAATAAAGATCGACCTTTTAGTGCCGTAAAGGTCAATCTTAAAATATTATCAAATTGTATACCGGTGTCCCAAAAAACACCGGACTCTGTTTGATTTCATGTAACGTAAAAGCTATAAAAGCTATCGCAGATTCGCAATAAAATAAAGATCATTGCATTCTCAGCATTCATAATAGACTAACTTAGATTTTGATTAGCAATTAATCACGAACGTGTCATTTTAAAATTGAGCACACTGGGCTGGTTTACAAGACGTCTATGATAAATTGATAATTATAATTACTGATGTAGTTATAATTGTTAATTTGTATGCACAAGTTGCTCTAACTTCGAACAGCTAACAGTTGACTTCAAATTACGATTTGAAGTTTGCCATTTGCGGATATAATACGTCGGCTGAAATAAAACGTATTGAACCGTGATTGAACGAAACGCGATCCAAATGACAATGTAATTAGTTTGAGATCAGATTAACCGTAACTCGTTTACATCTTTCAAACGTTGGGGCCTAACTCGAAGAACAAAATGTTTGACTATGCTCGAGTTAAGCCCCTATTTTCTAGAGGGCTTAACTCGAAGTACCTAACTCCAGTTATGTACTTCGAGTTAAGCCCTCAACGGAAATGGGTGTGGTATGGGCGTGGTCGGGGCTTAACTCGAAAGGGCGTGGTCGGGGCTTAACTCGAAGGGCTTAACTCGAGGGTCAGATTTTCTACCCCTATTATAAAGTATAATGAGTATTAAAGGCCTTTAGAAACTTCTTAAGATCTATCTTAAATTTTGAAAAACAAGTTTCATTTCTAAAACTTGATGGTAGCAAATTCCATGTTTTTGCTCCATTGTATCGAAAAGAGCCTTGATACTTTTTCGTTCTTGCTCAAGGTAATCGGAGTGAATCTCTATTTCTAGTATTATAGGCATGGATTTCATTCATTTGTTTTCATTGCTTTACGCTTGAGAAAATCCCTTTTGAACATAACTAATTAGAATTTTTCTGTGTTGGTGTTGTGTACTCAGGTGAATAATATGTTTGCGATGTTACTCTGAGTGCATAATTAGTCTTAATTTCCTTATTTACCAATGGGACACTACCCTTTTTCCTTATTTTTTTTTTATTCAATAATTGCATGGAGCATGTTTGTCAAGCACTTGAACAAATAGTGCTTTCCAGCATTCCGTTTACTATCTATAGTTCTGCCCAAGGCAACATATACAAGTCATTTAGAAAGCTTTAAATTGAACGGTAATTCTTTTAAATTTTTAAACTCCACTGAACCTTGAGATCCACTGTTAAATATAATCACCCTGATTTCATTATCAATTAATTGGAGTACACAGTTTCCAAATCCAGGTATCTGGAACTAAATCTATAAACCTTTTGATAATTTACGTAACACCTTACATAAATGCAAACTCCCCCTCCATTTCTTGTTCGATCAGTGCGCAGTATATATCATAACAATTAGTATATACCATTACTGACAGACAAGCTCATCAGAAATAGTATGATCGACGCAGGTTTCAGAAGAAATCTTAAAAATAAACGTTCATGGTAAGCCGAGAAAATCAAAGTAAAGTTTATGTAAATGAACATGAACTTTTATCACATATATAACACCACCGACACGGTATAGTAGTAATTTCTTTGGACTTTTCCTCATGATTGATTAATGAAAAATTTTTATTACAGTTAACACCACAAAAAAAAAGATTTACAAAGTGTAAGATTCAAGCATGCTGAGTATAAAATTGTTAGTTTGACATAAAATTTGAACATATATAAGCATATAATTTTGAAATTTTAAATTATTAATTAGTTTACACATGCATGATCATTGAAACACGCTTAATTAATTAAGCGTTTTTCATACACGTGCGCATGTACGCACCAAAAAGTTTTTGGTATGTGATTACCAATGTGTAATTTGTTGAGGTAACTATACTAATATAAAATTGAAACTACATGGTACTAACTACACTGCAGCACGATAGTATTTAAACTGCGCAAAATTTAGATATGCGCAAAATTTGTATAATTATATATGTTAGGTTTCGTTGTTTACAAAAACTTTTGGTAGAGTGCTCAATGGATATCCATAGCATAATTACTGTAATTAAGTAAATTCACAAGCACAACGACTCAACAAATTCCAAGGCATCTTTATAAATAAAAATATTTCCCACGAAATATGGGTTTTTATGTCATTCATCAACGTCGATCTCTTGGTATTAATTAAAACCAAGATAACTAGATATTTTGCAAATTTATCTTCAATATCATTTTGTTCCTATTTTCAGGTTAGAGATACGTATCTTACATTTACACCATCATTATTTTACCTATTTTCCTTGTATTATTGCTTTGTCAGACCCATATGTACTGGTATTTGGTCATTCCTTAATTTGTGAAGCGCATGCATCGGGATTTAAAACTGATCTAATTTGGATGTTCGCGCTGCCCTTAATTTTAACATGCACATAATGCGCATGTTACTCGGGGTCGTCGGCGTTTATTTGGTAACCAATCGGGCTCTTAATTCTCACCAATTTAATGCATGTTAAGGATGCGATCTTGAACCAGTATATATACCTTACTGTCAGTGGCGGAAATCTTGGGGGGGGGGTGTCCGCTTGGACGGAAAATTGAAGAATTTTCGGAAATTTTGACCCGAAAGAGGGTGCAAATGGGGGGGTATGTCTGGAATTTGAAAGTTTTGTCGGAAATTTAGGAGGCTTTGCCCCCCACCGGAAAAAGTGAATTTCCGCCACTGCTTACCGTTGCATGTGTTTGACGATATGCACAACGTCTTTTGTTGGAGACATAAAGGCTTTTCTCAGCCAACCCTTTCGACTTTTCTTCTTGATGGCGTCCATTTTACCCGCAGAGCTCAATACACTAGTCGTATAGAAGTTATCGCGGGAGTGCCATTCTCAAGACCATCCAGTTTCTATCACGCTGTGCTTAGCACACAGATTGTCACAATTTTATTTGACTTTTAATATCCTCATTTAAATACAATTATATGGCTAAAATATAGCTATCCCACCCTTCGTGGTGATCGAGTCGAGGCTCCGATCTCGCTATATTCGTTGTTCCGGATAGCACTTCGCTGCGATTCCTGTTGATTCTTCGCCCTCAAGTTTGTTATTTCAAAACCTCTCGCTTCGTTGAGATTTTGTCAGAGGCTTCGCCCTCATTTGATGCAAATGTTTTAATGCACTGTAAGCCGAGGCTTTGCCCTCGTTTTCATCTGGTGTTTTGGGCGAGTGGTGTGGTCAACGTTTTAGTGTGGCCAAGCTTGAACCAGTTAGTTCAGATTCTCCTATTTAACAATCGCGTCTTTGTTCCTTACACCATCTGCATTCAGATGGGCACTAAATTCTAATCCATTTTGAAGTAATTTCTTTCAGTTCATTATGCCACCTAAATGTTCTAAAAGTTCGAAGCGTCGAATTATCTCCAGTCAATCCATCACCGTCACAGCGTGTCACCGTCATAGATCAGTCGGTCCGGGGGCAACGAGCTAATACTACCAAATTGACTTTTCTTAGCCGCTAGCATACCTCGCAGCCATTGCTTTAGATTTCACGAAGGTGACGAATGTTCGGGTTATAAAGATGCCTAGTGGATTTTGTTGATTTGTTGTACCTTAATTTGAATATGCTCTGGTGTATATATATATATATATATATATATATATATATATATATATATATATATATATATATATATATATATATATATATATATATATATATATATACATTCTAAAATTCATTCTCATATATATATACTTCTAAAATTCATGAATAATTCATGAGCTAATTAGCCAATGAATTTCTTAAAATCTCGTCACATGATGACCCCTATATACCGTGATATAGATCGGTGTGTGCTGATTTAAAATTTATATATAGACCACATGTACCTTTATGATAAAGGTACATGTACCTTTATAAAGCATTCTTTAACAAAATGTTTATTAATCTGTTCCTAATAAAAACTCAAATATTCGAGAAATCAATAAATACTTTATTTTCCAAAGTTAAAGGTAATGTTACAATTGTTAAACACGGGATTAACAACCCTTTCGTTTTTTTATTACACACCACTTTAAACTCTTTAAACCCAACAAACTCGTTTAACTAAAATGCTAAAGACGCTTCATTCATCTCCGCCAGCGATGTAGTTAATGTCTGGTTTGGTCCAATATCATCAGTTTCATGACCACCATCGTCGATCTTCGCTTCTTTAACCTTTCTGGCATGCAGCTCTCCAGGAATCAGAAATCGTCAAAGCCCACTTTCTCGCGTATCTTGTACTTGGCGGCATCGATCTTTCGAGCAACGTTTGCTCCTCTTCAGCAGTTCGAGCGCTTCGAAACCGACTCATTAACAAAACAAGTCAAATAAGTTCAAATTTCCATTTGAAAACTCCGTTTAACGACTTGTATGACTTGATAACAACAAAGCGCATGGTCCGGATGAAATCCCAGCAAGATTACTTACCGAAACTGCATACCAAATCGCTCCATCTCTATGCCTTCTGTTTAACAAGTCCTTAAAAAGTGGAATAGTACCTCGAGAATGGAAACTTGCCAATGTTGTACCCATCCACAAAAAGGGGGATAAAGATCATGTAGAAAACTATCGGCCAATTTCTCTTCTCTCACTTGTCTCCAAAGTCTTAGAGCGTTGCGTGTTCATTAGTATCAAAGAACATGCTTTCGGTCAAATAAATTCTTGCCAACATGGCTTCATTTCAGGAAAATCATGCGTGACACAACTAATTGAAGTTTTAGATACAATCGGCAGCCAATTAGATCTCGGAAAGCAGATTGATGTGATCTACCTGGATATGTCAAAAGCATTTGATAAGGTTAGTCACGTACGTCTTCTACATCGTCTCAGAGAATTTGGATTCGGAGGAAATCTCTTAATGTGGTTTAATTCTTACTTGAAAAATCGCCAACAACAAACTACTGTTCTCGGTGCAACATCGACAGCACTACCAGTGACATCCGGAGTACCACAAGGTTCCATTCTTAGCCCGCTACTTTTCCTCTTATATACCAATGATCTATCCTCTTCCATCGTGAATTCGAACGTAGCAGCTTTCGCTGATGACACTAAGGCCGCGTTCACACTACACTTTTGGATCGATCTCGGATCGATCTTCAACAAAGCGGCCTTAGTCTGAACGGTAAAGAAAAAACTGAGATCGATCTCAGATCGATCCAGTCCAGTCCACTTCCAGAGGTGGTCTCAGATCGATCTGAGTGAGATCGATTCTGTCTTTTTCTGAATGCGAACGTAAATCGTGCTAAAGATCGATCCAAACTCATTCTCAGGCCTTTTTTGTCTGGCAAAAAATCGGGCGATTATAATTCGCAGGCTAGAATGCTAGCTTTCGCGCCAATTCTACTTATTTACAATTTTTCTACTTGTAATTTCTTTGTGGAAGTCTTTTATTGTCAGTTTATGTTGGTAAAATAAAGAAATGGCTGCTAAAAAGGGAGAAATTTGGTCGGAAGAAGAGTGTCTTGCGCTTCTCTCTGCATGGGGCGATGAGGAAATACAAAAAAAGCTTCGTGGAACTCACAAAAACTCCGATGTGTACAAAAAGATGAGTTGTATGATGAAAAAGTCCGGAGGCTTTGATCGCGACTGGATTCAGTGTAGAACGAAAGTGAAGCATTTAAAATCCGAATACAAGAAATACAAGGACTCTTTGTCACGATCTGGGGCTGGTAGAGGAAAGGAGCCAAAGTTTTTCGAGAAAATTGATTATTTTCTGGGTGACAAACCTGAAGCTCTTGGCGTGGAAAACAGCATTGACACAAGTAGCACAGCTATACTCGAAGACAAAGACCTGGTTGATAACAGCGATTTTGGTAAGTGTAGTATCAGTTTTAAGACTGTATTGAGTATTGTTACTGTATACAGTACCTTTCATGTGGTTGTGCAATATATGGTTTATATACCGGGTGGCGCAAAAAACTTGAGTAAACATTTTGAAAGTGTCGAGAATTAGCCAAAAACGGCAGAAAGTATACGTTTGTTTTCAGAGACCCGCCCAACGTCGCCGATATAACTGATATAACCTCACGAGCATTATTTACCCTTGCGTATTCTAAACAAATCCAAAGTCTTTGGTCCTTCATTAAACGAGGCGTATTTATAAAAAATACGCGACGTTTCTTTCTTGGAACATAAACAGTTTTAATTTAAACTTCACCTCATTTAACTTCGCGAATACTTACGAGTTACGATAAAATAGTTATCAAATTAGTTTATCAGCTAATTCTCGACACTTCCCAAAATGTTTAATCAAGTAAAATAGTTTAAACGCAACTATCTCGGTCAATATTGCATGAAAATGCATAGAGCGTATATCAAAATTTAAGTTAGACAATACTGAATGCAATGCACGTTGTTTAAGTGTAGTAGCTCTTTTAGTTTTTAAAATAAATCAAACACCACCCAATATATTATAGGAAAACCAGTTTCGTTAATATATTCGTTTGATCACTTTTTAGATACTGCAGGCCAACTGGTTGGAAAGTATGGAGGTGGCCGAAGTGTTGAAAAACAATGTCCTCAATGTAACGAAAAACTTACATTAAAGACAGCTGGTGTTCATATCGGGGAAAATGAATGTATTGCGGTATACAGTGACGATGACAAATTTGTATGCCCCTATTGTAATTATGTTGAAGAAGGTATTTTGAAACCTAAAATCACGCAATCACTGCCCTGCCCCTTTCAAAATGCCTGAGCAAATTCAATGAACTTTTTTGTACTTGTTTCTATGCACTAGCTGTCTGTATATTATGTTTATACTAACAAATACACCCTCAAATGTTTGCCTCTCTTTCACTTGTTTCAGACATTTTAATGAACCCAGATTTTGTTCAAAAAGAAGCTACACCATCCAAGAGGCAGAAAACTGAACCTAAAGAAAAGGTAAATAAAGACGAAAATGCAAAGAAAAGGGAGACAAAGAGAAAAGAGAAGCCAACCAAGTTGCAAGTTGCCTTTGGAGAGCAATGGCTGACCACACTAAATATCAAAAAGAATCTGACAACTTGCTTGTTTCCCAAATGAAGGATCAGTTTGAAAAAGAAGTTGAAATAAGAAAAGAAGAGCTGAATGCATACACAAGTTCAATAGCACTTCTTGCTAATGCTATTGCTGGGAAGCAGCAACCACCACCACAGCAGCAACCACTACAACCACCAATGTACCATTACCCAATACATGCAGATGATGCAAATCAACAAACATATTACAAACTATAATTAAAGACTTCATTTCATGCAGTATTTATATTACTACACTGCTTATTTGTTAAAACTTGAGTGTTAAATGTTGATTAAAATACAATATTTGCTTTAATTTGTTATTCTTATTGTTGTGTACACAGGGGCGTCGGAAGCGGTTGAGGGAAGGGGGGCTTAAATGTCATTGCCCCCCTCGCACAAACACATACACTTCTTAACAGTGGTCAATAATAAACACAAAATTAATTGATATTATTTCAATTACGCGTGTGGAGAAACTAATTCGAGATATTTTATGACATTTCGTTATCCATGACGAGCCGCACGTTTTGAAAACCAGCGGGATTTGCAAACTGAGTTTGCATTTTTCAGGAAGCGGGTGCAGCTTACCCACCAACAATTAACGCTATGCGATGTCATCAATCCAGGAGAAACTGCTCAAACACAGTGTGAGATCAAACATGTAATAAGTTTAATTTCAGTCCGAATATTAACCTACATATGTCATATGATATTTTAGATACAATTTAGTACAAATAAATGGCTTGATTGTTGACAGAGCTAACACTACAGGATACCGCTATAGATACCGCTCCAGGTGTAGCTAATTCACAATGCTATTTTGGCTTAGATGCGCCAGAAGATGCTTCTGGTTTAGATGCGCAATGAGTTCTTTAGGTATATGGTATTAATATCTCCTTATTAGTTTGTTTTCCCTTACGAATAGGCCTACATTGGAAAAAGGTCGCGCAAGGAGCGGAAAATAGATTATATAATTATACAAGAAAATTTATTTTGAAAGGCTATATATTTGCGTTACGTATTTTGCTCCATAATTTTCAAGGGATAATTGTAATACAGACTCTCAATAGCCTCCACTGGTTAAGAAAAATGAAGCATCTTCACACTAGAAGGACTCTTAAAAGGAGCAAAGGCTCAGTATTTTGTGTTGCGCGCGCCGTGATTTATAGTGCAACATACTAATATTTAGTGTATACAAGGAATAACACAGACTCCTATTTAGCTTCGACTGGTTAAGAAAAGATGGAGCATCTTCATAACCTGCCAGCAAAAGATGGCACATCTTTCTGGCACAGGAGTTTCCACTAAAAGGACTCTTAATTATTCCGGCAGAGGCAAAGGCTATATATTTTGCGTTGCGCCATGTTTTATAGTATGTACCGTATACAAGGAATAACACAGACTCCTATTCAGCTCCCACTGGTTAAGAAAAGATGGAGCATCTTCATAACCTGCCAGCAAAAGATGGCACATCTTTCTGGCACAGGAGTTTCCACTAAAAGGACCTGCTGGTATTCCTGCTGAGGCAAAGGCTATATTTTGCGTTGCGCCGTGATTTATAGTGGGATATGTACTGCATGCAGAAAAAAATACAGACTCCTATTTATAGCTTTCACTGCTTAAGAAAAGATGGAACATCTTCATAACCTGTTTTTTAAGTTTAGATATAATGAGAACCATATTGGTGTCCTAGTAATAATTTTATGCCTCAATAATCCCTAAACGTTAGATCAAAAAGTGCCGTGTGAAATATGATAGTGTGATGGCCTCGTACGTGTTGTTGGCACAATGTATGCCTGTGAAAATTATGTTGTATTTGATGAAACTGAGGATAAAAGATAAAAAAACGACTTGTATTTGTATAAATGTGAACCTAAGAAATATAAGTAGCCTACAGGTGTAGATTTATGAAACACAAAACTGGAGATGCATGCATGTGTAAAATTGTAAAGGTAAAATATATCCTGTGGTGTAAAATATATATTTGATCAGACCCAGAGCTAGAGTATGATCGCGCTGTACTAAAAAGCTTGTACTGGAATCATGTAAAATATATAGAGCGAGAGAAAGAGATAGTCATGTTTGTAAAATTCAATATCCCTATACGCGGCGTTTCGTCCTTCATGGTCTCATGGACTCGTCAGCATGGAGTTGAGGTTGGCACATGTGTAAGAAGGATAGAATACAGAAACCGATTTGGATTACAGAGTCAATAAGCATAAAAATAGCAATATATGTGTATGACTATTGTAAAATAAATGTAAATTAGTAAAAAGTGTCTTACCAAATTCGCTGATATTTTTGTCAACCAACACGTTGGGCCATGGCTTATAGCCTTTATATAGAGCGTCTTTCGTTACGACAGATAAAGGCATACCAGTAGGCATACCAGTTTTTTAGAGTATGAAGCTTGTCTGAGTAAACGCGTTTGTACGCCATGATTGCTTGACATGCTGTTCGCTTCAGATGATTTGGCGCAATTGAATTTGGCGCCCAAAATTTTGTAAACTTATATTCTGAAGTTCTAACATGCAGTAATTGGTGATGACAACTTGACAAGTCGCTTCATAAACTAGATTATTTAATATTTTTCAATGATTAAACTACATCTCATTACTTGGCATTAAATTACATGCAAAGGAAAATAATCCAGGCTATTAATTGGAAACAAATGTCAACACCTTTCACACTTTTCCTATTAATGCTGCGTTAAGCAACACCTAAAAGTTAATCCTGTTTAAACCCGTGCGGCTCGTCATGAGAACTCTGTAAATCTCCTTCTACAGTAAAGTGCAGGAAATGGCATTTCCGAGACTGCAGTTTCACAGTTTTTCCTGGGGGATGCCCCTGGACCCCCTCAAAAATTTTACCCGCCTTCCGCGGGCGCTAAGTGTGCCCCCAGCCCCCTACTTATATAGCCGCTCCGAAGCCCCAGCCTGTGTGTACAGTCACAAGTATGGTTTAAGGTCATCGCTTACATGGAGCAAGTTTTTCATACAACTTGTTACACAATTCTGAAGTAGATGACTAGTTGCATGCTGCATGTGGACAGCATACTTGCCAATGGCATTGCAATCAAAATTGGACATTGTAGTACCACCTTTAGATACAAATATTAGTTTGCTTGGAAAAATGCAGTTAAAGCCAGTCTAAACTCTTCAGAATCTCCCTCAATGTCAACATCCAGCATATCGTAAATATCGTTATCCTCATTAACATTCTCAACAATTTCATCCTGTTGTAGCGCATCTTCTCTCATTTTACAGAGATTATGTAAGACGCAGCATGTTGCAACTTTGGATGGTAAGTATTCCAAGTATGTTTCGCTTTTTTTCTTCATGAGGCATCTAAACCTGCTCTTCATTTGGCCAAATGCACATTCTACCACCATCCGGGCTCGACTCAGTTGGTATTTGAATTTAACTTGACTATGATTTAAATTTCCAACCTCGTCCCCAGGGCCTTTGAGCTGACTTCGTGCTGGAGAAGGCCCTGGCATCGGCTGACACTTTACACCCCAAAATTTGGGGTGTGAATTAATTAAGACCACTTAATTTCAATGCGCGAAATTGTTTTATTCTTCAAAATTTCCTATACTTGCTGCTCCAAGACAAGGTAAATGTTATATATTTTTAATCCGCGAGAAATAAGCTATCGGAAAATGTTTGAATCAAATTTATACGATCAGAAATTTAGAAGCTACGAGTCAATTTGGCAGCCGCTAGACTACAATTTAATTGTTTATGTATTAAAATATTTTGAAATCCTCAGCACAAAACTTTGGATAATTTTTAAAATACTCAATCAATATACCTCATTCAAACATATTTGAACTCCCGGTTGTATAGCGATACAGATTATATAAAGTATGTAAAGGTTTGAGCAAGTTTTCACCAAATTTACCGACGAAATTTGATGGCCACATTCTAGACTAAATTTTTAATATGTCTCGACTGACGTGCATAGTCCATTCACTTTTCTTCATTTAAAAATTATTTTCTATCTTAACACCAGACACATTATATATTTTTGAAATCCTTAGAAGATTTTCTTTCGAAAGATCAGCAAACAGAGTCTCTACAACAAAAATTGGATGAGCTTACATAAGATTTGTAATGTTGTTGCCATGTTGTAAACAATTAAATTGTAGTCTAGCGGCTGCCAAATTGACTCGTAGCTTCTAAATTTCTGATCGTATAAATTTGATTCAAACATTTTCCGATAGCTTATTTCTCGCGGATTAAAAATATATAACATTTACCTTGTCTTGGAGCAGCAAGTATAGGAAATTTTGAAGAATAAAACAATTTCGCGCATTGAAATTAAGTGGTCTTAATTAATTCACACCCCAAATTTTGGGGTGTAAAGTGTCAGCCGATGCCAGGGCCTTCTCCAGCACGAAGTCAGCTCAAAGGCCCTGGGGACGAGGTTGTTAAATTTCCATTATCTTTAAAACGCGTCATCAACCAAGGCAGCAATGGATAGGCAGAATCTGCCACTAACATTATTGGCACATCACACTCATCAATATTTTCAGTCACCTTTAAAATTTAAAAATAGCATTAATTAGTAATTATCCTCAAATAAATCATAACGTAATTTTTTTTCTGGTATCCTGTGACAAGAAATCACCATATCTAATGGTGCATTAAATTTCTCCCCATTCTTAATTATTTTAGTTCAGTTTAATACTATTCCTAACAATGGCATTCTAAAATCCTACATAGTATGAAAGTTAGCAGACAACGAAAACTCACATCAGGAAAAAGCATTTGAGCTTGGCCTTTTGCATATAACCCAGAGTTGGCCAGTATCCTCGCATCATGTACCTTTCCAGGCCACTTTATATAAATGTCAGTAAATCTTCAAAAGAAATATAGAAATGAGCTGAGCATTAATAGGTTAATTACTAATTTCAATTTTATTGATTGCCAGGAAAAAGATCTCGATCTTCGGATCTTTGAACCATCCTCACAAATAGGCATTAGGGTGGTGCTCTTTTGTAAAACTCTGTCTGTCTGCATTTTGTCAAATACTCAAACTGTTAAACACATTGTACATTATCACATAAGAAACCCAATATAATCCGTAGGTGATTGATAAAGTCACCTAGTATGAAGTCACCTAATTACTATCCTAATTATATAGAAATACCTGTACTGATGATCAACCACTGCTTGTAACACAATGGAATAAAATCCTTTTCTATTGTAATA